CCGGACGCCCCCCCCTTCCTCCCGCAAGGGGCGGGGGCACATAGTGGGGCGCCGAGGTCGCACAGAACACCGCCAGGGCATCGACGAGGCACCCGCGGGGCCGCGAGGAACAGGCCTGGCACCAAAGCCGAGCTGCATCGCCGACGGGCTCGGGGAGGCGGAGCTCTCGGGGATGGACAGAACCCCCTCTAGCAAAACGTGGTTTGGTGAAAACGACCTCGGGCCCAAACCTGGCGGGCGCAAGCCTGGAAAATAGCGGCCACGGCGCCCTCTCGAGAACCGAAAACGGACAATTCACTAATCGACGTGTCACTGTTGGGGGTTCTGTCCACCCCCGACCCCCATTTCAGGACACCCCCCACGTGCCACCCGCCCCAGTAGTCTTCGAGCACAGAGCCCCGGCTCCTGATCAGGGGGCCTCACCACGCCTGCCCGGACGCCCCCCCCTTCCTCCCGCAAGGGGCTGGAGCACATAGTGGGGCGCCGAGGTCGCACAGAACAGGTCATCGACGAGGCACCCGCGGGGCCGCGAGGAACAGGCCTGGCCCCAAAGCCGAGCTGCATCGCCGACGGGCTCGGGGAGGCGGAGCTCTCGGGGATGGACAGAACCCCCTCTAGCAAAACGTGGTTTGGTGAAAACGACCTCGGGCCCAAACCTGGCGGGCGCAAGCCTGGAAAATAGCGGCCACGGCGCCCTCTCGAGAACCGAAAACGGACAATTCACTAATCGACGTGTCACTGTTGGGGGTTCTGTCCACCCCCGACCCCCATTTCAGGACACCCCCCACGTGCCACCCGCCCCAGTAGTCTTCGAGCACAGAGCCCCGGCTCCTGATCAGGGGGCCTCACCACGCCTGCCCGGACGCCCCCCCCTTCCTCCCGCAAGGGGCTGGAGCACATAGTGGGGCGCCGAGGTCGCACAGAACAGGTCATCGACGAGGCACCCGCGGGGCCGCGAGGAACAGGCCTGGCCCCAAAGCCGAGCTGCATCGCCGACGGGCTCGGGGAGGCGGAGCTCTCGGGGATGGACAGAACCCCCTCTAGCAAAACGTGGTTTGGTGAAAACGACCTCGGGCCCTAACCTGGCGGGCGCAAGCCTGGAAAACGACGGCCGCGGCGCCCTCTCGAGAACCGAGAGCGGACAAGTCACTGATCGACGTGTCAGGGTGGGTGCTCTGTCCACCCCTCAAGCTCCGATCCTTGCTCCGGCCCCTCTGTGGGAGGCCCAGATGCGGGTGGGTGCCCAGACCTCCGGGCGTCGTTGCTGCAGCGACCTCCGGGCCCCTGGGACTCTCGGGCCCTCCCGAGGGATGACTGGTTCGCTCCGAGCAGCTCTCTGCGGCCCCGAGGGCCAAAGCAGCAGCAGGGACGGACCCCCCCAAAAAAACACAGGACTTCGAAAAGCACGACGCGGTCCCCGGAGGCCACATCCACGGGGAGGAGGAAGACGAGTGGACCAGAAAACAAGCGACACCACCCCACCTGCGGCCCCACGGGCCATGGCATGTACCATGAATTCCGGCTTGGGCTTTTGCGTGGTATGCGCTACGGCCCCCACATGGGCCGTAGCGCAACATGGAGGGCCGTGGGTGGGGTGATGTCTTCTGTTTTTTGGTCGAACGAGGAGCTGTTCTGTTTGTTTTGCTTTGTTCGACAGCCGCCGCGCCAAGCCTGGCCTCCGCGTGCTCTGTCCGTGTGGGGGGGGGGGGGGGCCGCGGCATCTCCCCCGCGCACGTGACGCAGGGCAGCCGGCCCCAGAAAGGGAACCACGGAACCAACGAACACGACCACAACCCCACAGACCGGTCAAGAAGGGCGAGGGGAGGGGAAGGGGGAGGGTCCCGCTCCTCCGCTCCAACCTGCTCCTCCTCCTCCTCCTCCTCCTCCTCCTCCTCCTCCTCCTCCTCCTCCTCAAACTGCTCCTCTCCTCCTCAAACTCCTCCTCCTCCTCCTCCTCCTCCTCCTCCTCCTCGTCCTCCTCCTCCTCCTCCTCCTTCTTTTTTCCTCCTCCTCCTCCTCCTCCTCCCCCTCCTCCTCCTCCTCCTCCTACTCCTCCTCCTCCTCCTCCCACCCTGGCATGGCCACCAGTCGTTCGGAAGAAGTGGGTAGAAACATGAAGCAGGAAGGCGGATAAAGCAGACTGGGTTCAGGCCCTCCCAGAGAACAACAAAACACAGCAGAAGCATGTCGATGATTTCCAGTATGGAAGCGCCTGAAGTGGACTGGGATCTGGGGATTCAAAGATACCCGCTTTCAACGACGGGCGTGTACTTATCAAGAAGAAAGCATGGCTATTCATCTTCATCAGCACGACGACTCAGGACAGCCATCTCCTCGCAGAAGAGTCTATCATTTTGTAGCTCCCAGCAAACAAAGAGAACCTCACGATCACGATCAAAAATATCACGGGAACCACCGTGAAGCTCACGACCGTCAGAAAGCGCGCAACCATCAGGTCCACTACCACCACCAAAAAGCCCACGGCCCACGGAATTCACGAACTCGGTTTCGGACACGGTGCTTCCATCTGGAGCTCCACCACTGTGGAATACCGCCGTGTAAAGAGAGATGAGGCCCAGGAGGACGATCATCACTCCGATGACCATCACCGCCAGGAAGACGCTCAGGATAAAGAGCGGCACCGTCCGCCTCAGCACGACCCATACCGCCAGGCAGACGCTCCGAGCGAACGGCGACGCCAGGGAGAAGACAACCAGGAGCGAGATCACCAAGCTCCGCCCGTTGAAGATCAGGCTCCAGACGAAGACGACCATCAGGCTCCACGTGTTGATCACCAGGAGGAGCGCACAGATCACCAGGCTCCACACGAAGAACAACAGGTCTCTCGCGACCATCGCCCACAGGCTTCGCGCGAAGATCGCAAGTCCCCCCGCCATGCGCCGCGCGGCCGAGTTCCCGCCGGAGGACCTCCGCAGTGCCCATGCCCGTGCACAACGGCCCCGCACTCACGCTGTAAGGGAAGGTCGGGACGGGCGGGAAGCTCACGACGCCATCGCGCTCATTTCTGCGTAGCCGCTTCTTGCCGTCGCTCGGACGTGCGTTCCCCGTGCATGTGTCGATGCTCGTGCGTGCTTATTTGTGTTGCAAGATGACCCAGGATGCTCATCGATGGTCCTCCCCGAGAAACATGCACACGGCCGAGCGATGGCATGGCTTCGGGGGAGGTTGCTGGAACGACAGCCGAGGGCGAGCAGGGCCACCACCCGACATCCAGAGACCGCTGCCATCATGCCGAGGATCTTGACCAGGGCGCCGAGCTGCCCCTGGGACCGCGTGGTCCACCCCGCTGGCGGCGTCACCGTCGGCACCATCTTCCGCAGCATCGGGCTGCTGTCCTTCGGGCCGAGGGGAGAGGGCCACAGGCCGACCTCGACCGACCATCGGTGTGCACCAGCGGTCCACCGCAGAGAGCGTGCTCACGAGCCGTCCGATGCGGTCAAGCACGCCTGGGGTCGCGGTGCGCGCGAAGACGGACGCCTGCGCGGCCTCGTCGACTATCGGCTGGGACCTGTACCGCCCCGTCGTCGCCGCTCCACCAGCTGCGATGTGCACGCTGGCCCCGTGATGCGCGAGACGCCGCAGCCACGCCAGCCAAGCAGCGCGCCGCTCGCGGGCGCAGGTGCGCCCAGGAAGCCCACGGCCGCGCAGATACTCAAGCCCAAAGGGGCCACGGGGAGAGAGAGACGAGGAAGAGAAGGATGTGGAGAGGGAGGAGGGGGAGGGGATCAGGAGGACCCGCTAGAAGCAGCAAGACCCCTTGAACTCTCCTCCCCCTGCCGAACGCTGCTGGAGCAGACTGGGGCTGGGAGCGGGAGAAGTCTCCTGCTCGGTGCAGTCTCTCGGCAGGCGCCCCGCAAAAATCTTGCAGTCGTCACCGCCGCCACCTGCATGGATCGGCATTTCCTCCTCATCTTCCTCCTCATTGTCATCTTCCCACTCGTACGTACCTCCCCTGCCCTGCGTTCATCTAATCATTCTCCCTCACCCACTTCCATCCACCTCCTTCTCATCTTCCTGCTGACCATCATACTCCTGCAAATACCCAAACCCATGCCCACACTCATACTCATAACCATACCCATACGCATACTCAGACATAGGCTCATAGTCACACTCATACTCATCATCAGCAGCAGCAGCACCAAGAGGAATGATGTTAAGACTGCTCGCTCTAAGTGCTTGCGTCTCTTCATCAAATTACGAGCACACCTCGTTTCGAGGACTCACTTTACCCGCCAGCTCCTGCCTAAACCCCGACAGGGTAAGACAAGCGGGTCAAGCGGTCGGACCCTGACGATACAATCGTGCGGACAGGACCCCGGACGGGTCGGGCAGGCGGGACGTAAAGCACGCCGGCGGGCTTCCAGGCAACCGAAGAGGCGGACTCTAACGGGCGGGTCGGGCGGGCAGGAAATAAAGACGGGCGGACGACGACGACGACGACGACAACGACGACGACGACGACGACGACGACGACAACGGCTACCGCAACGACCACCAGCGCGACGACGAGGACCAGCACTACGACGACGACGACCACCACCACCACCACCACCACGAAGACAAAAACGACCACCACGATCACCACGACGACAAGGACCAAAACGACCACCACGATCACCACGACCACCACGACGACGAGGACCAAAACGGCCACCACGACCACCACGACGACGACGACGACGACCACGGCGACGACGACGACGACGACGACGACGACGGCGACGACGACGACGACGACGACGACGGCGACGACGACGACGACGACGACGGCGACGACGACGGCGAGGGGGCACCGCCTGGCAGTGCGGCCGCTGGGGCGCCTTTGCCTCGGAGGCGGGCGCGCGGGGCCTCCCCGGCGGAGGCCCCCGCGGGCGATCTTCGATCTGGCTGTCCGCCGCCGCCGCGTCGCCGTGGTGGTCGTGGTTTTCGTCGTCGTGGTCGTTGTTCGTCGTGGTCGTCGTGGTGGTCGTCGTGGTCGTCGTGGTCGTCGTGGTCGTGCTCGTGGTCGTGATTGTCGTCGTGGTCATCGGCTTCCATCCTTGCCGGATCACCCCAACGCCGACCCCAGATACGGAGGCATCCACGTCGGCAAAGCTGGCAGAAGTCTTGGAACACGCAATCCTTGTGACCGGGGAAGAAGGAGGGCGGGTCGCTTCCAAAATGAGGTTCTCGAATTCACTAGCGCTGCGCACATCGGCCTGTAAATTCGCCGCTTCACACGGATGAGGGCGCCTCCTTCTGAAAATGGGGCTCAGGCCTTAGCGCAGCGCACGTTCGTCTCAAAAGCTTGCAACACTTGCTGGGATGGACGGCAGCTCGCCCGTCGGAACGGACGTCGCAGCCGTCGGCGTCGATGGCGGCATCAACACCGCGCCGGGCACCACGGCCGGCAACGGCGCGGCACCGGCGAGCCCGAAGCTGGCGAGGGAGCAACCCCCGGGCAGCGGCGGGTTCGCCTCCCTCTCGACCCTCACTTCCGGGAGGGCCGAGTCTCTCCGAGCCTGTTCCGGTCGCAGCTCTGGGATACGAGCCTGCGCCTCCGCTGAACCTGGCCTGGCGATCCTAAACAGGCGGTCAGCAATGGCACCCCGACCAAGGTCGACCGCTCTGGTCGCAGGCGGGCCGCACACAGCTCCTCGTGAGCGTGGTCCGCGTCCTGCCGCGCCCGCGCTAGCTCAGCCTCGGCGTCAGCAAGCTGGTTGGCGACGTCCCTCCAAGTCGCGCGCCTTGGCCCCCCAATAGAGCAGCTTGGATCTACTCTCGGCTACCGTGGTCTCCTCTAGTCGGTGCCGGCATCCTGCCACCAGTGCGCACGTGGCCAGCCAGCCAACCAAGCCAACGGCGACCAAGGCGAGGCCAGCGGGACCCAGTGGCTTCCCCAACCGGCCGGTCCTGCTGACCAAGCTTCTGCGCAGCAGCAGGTGGCAGCGGATCCCATTCAGTGAGCGAGTGGCCGCCAGGAATGCGATGGCATGAAATGACATCATGCTGAAAGCCAGGGCCGCCACCAATGCGCCGCCCCCGCCAGGGCCAACCCCGCGACGCGGCCATCGTCGGCTCCAGAGCCCGCAGTACTGAAGGTGGGGCGCGGCGGCGGCGCAGGCCCGCCCGCGCCTCACTCCGCCGCAGGCCAGAGCGCGGGCGGCCCGGCTCGGCCCCGCCCAAGCCGCACGTGGAGCTCGGACCGGCTTGGCGGGCGGGAGCGCTTGGCCACCCACCCCGCCCCTTGCCCCTGCCGCTCGGGGGCGGAGGGGGTCCGGAAGCACGGCCCTTTCCGCCTGCCGCCCCGCCCCGCCCCCCGAGCCGACCCTGCAGGCTCGGGGACCTCTAGCCCCTCGGCGCACCACGGGGTGGCAGCCGACGATTCGGCCAGCCAGACCAGCGCACAGCAATGGGACGCCATGGCCCGCCCACTTCGCGCGACCACGGGGAGCACGCGTTCCAGGCCCGCGCGGGCTCACCGACCCACCCAATTCACTGGGGGATCCTTGAGCCACTGGCTGCGGAGTCAAAATGAATGCGCACATGAGTGCCTCAGCTTCTGCTTAACCTGCAATCTAACAGATGGACAGACTATAGAAAGGCGATGGGGAGCCGGAGGAGAGAGAAGCGGTGAGGGCAAGCTAGTTGCGCTTGCGCCACATCCGACATCCTACCCCTCCCCCGCGGGGGGCAGCAAGCGACCACAACCACATCAAGGACACATCCAGGGTGATGCCGATGCTGTGGTCGATATGGCGTCCCATAAAAACAACCACAACCACAACCAAAGTGCTCCTATGTCGACGTCGGCGGGTTCTTCCCCGATGGGCCCTCCCAAAAAAAAACACTTAGTTGTGGTTGTGTTTCTATGTTGTGCCCAGATCCCTTACATCCCTACCCATTGCGCTGATGCTTTCTCTTCACGCCCACGCATGTCATGGCCGACCTGGAACTCCAAACAGAGACCCGATCGTGTTCTGCTTAATCCGAAGAGGAAGAAGGTGGCGGGAAACCAGGAGGATGAGCAGGAGAAAAAGAAGAAAGAAAAGGGGGAGGATGTGGAAGGGGCGAGGCGAGGACGAACAGCAGCAGGAGGAACTGGAATGGAAGGAGCGGAAGGAGCCGAAGGACCAGGTGAAGGCGGGGGGCGACAACGATGAAACAGGACTCGGATCCAGAAAGGCCCGCACTGGGACGAGAGGGCCATTTCGAACGACGAGAGCAAAGCCCCGATTCTAAAAAAAGGCCCACGCTGCAGCAGGAGCACCATTTTGAAACACCGAAGCCAATCGGGCTGAAACAAAAACACAAGTAAACACAATGCTTCAACTCCTGTGCGACAAACAATACGCAAAGACAAATGGTCATCTTCCCGACGGACCCCGGGGAGAAAGAGGAGTAGAATTTCTAATGTGCATTTGGGACGTGGTGGGAAGGGGACGAGCACAACCCCAAGGCCCGGGGGTCCCCCTGTGCGACGGGGGTGGGGACCCACTCGGGTGCGCAAGGACCAGGGAGGAGCCAGCGGCGGAAGGGGAGCGGAGGAGGAGGAGGAGGAGGAGGAGGAGGAGGAGGAGGAGGAGGAGCGGGGGGGAGGAGGTGAAGGAGGAGGGGGGGAGGAGGATAGGTAGGAGGATAGGGGAGGAGGAGGAGGAGGAGGAGGAGGAGGACGAGGAGGAGGAGGACGAGGAGGAGGAGGAGAAGGAGCGGGAGGAGGAGGAGGAGGAGGAGACCTTGCGCATATATATATATATATATATATATATATATATATATACCGACGGCGACCGACGGGACAGAGGCGCAGCCCCGCGTTCTCGAAGCGGGGGCCCCAGGAGCGCTGGCGTGCCGGGTGCCGGGCTGCAGGCGAGTGCGGGGGCCTGGCCGGGCTCGCCCCCTGCGCGGCGGGGGCGACTGGCGGCGCGCACGAGGGGGTAGGGGGAGGGGGGGAGGCTTCTCAGAGGGAGGCCGCTTCTCAGAGGGCGCTGGCCCTGCACCTACAGGGAAGGCCCCGCGCGCCGTCCGTGCGGAGCAGGGGGCGCTTCCCGAGAAGCCCGCCCCCCTCCTCCCACCACCCACTGCGCGTGGCCGAGGCGAGCTCGGGCGAGAAAAAAGAGGGCGCGGGCACGGACGCGAGGCTGCGGTTGGCCGTTCGCGCTGGAAAAGCCCGCGGCGACGAGGGCCACAAGGAGGTGGAGAGGGGGGAGCGTGAGGAGGACAGTGAGGAGGGGGGAGAGGGGAGGAGAGGGGGAGGGAGGGGAGAGGGAGGAGTGGGAAGAGGAGGAGCAGAGGAGGCGGGTGAGCAGGAGGGGGAGGAGAAGAAGGACGACAAGGACCCTTTGGAACACTTGGCTGAGCCCTCCGCGCAATAGCCGCCCGCCCCGATGTGGGCCAAACGGTCTGCTTCCTGCAACCTGCTTCAGTTCCAGCTTCCAGCCTCCCCTGTTGCAGTTCTGTGTGCTGCTTCCTGCTGCAAGCTGTTACCATCCGTGCGAGGGGGCGGACCGAAAACCTTTCACCACCCCCTGATCGCGTGCTCCAAGTGCCTGGGGGGGGGGGGGCAGACTCGCGCCCCGAGGCCACGATCCCTCGCAAAGTACGCCGGACCCGCTTCCCCGAGGCCACGATCTCTCGTAGGGTTTCCGCGAGGCCACGATCCCCAGAAAAACAACAAAGAAAAACAAAACAGCAAAAAATCCTGGATTCGCGCCGCAGAAAGCCAGAATCCCTCGCAAAGTACACCAGATTCGCGCCCCAGACGCCACGATCCCTGGTTAATTACGCCAGGTGCGCCTCCCGAGACCACGATCCCATGTAAATTACACAAGGCTCGCGCCCCCGAGGCCACGATCCCTTGCAAATTACACCAGGTTCGCGCCCCCAATGCCACGACTCTTTCTGTGAGTTACATTAGATGGCGGCCCCGAGGCCACGATCACCTGTAAATGACGCAAGATATTCGCCCCCGAGGCCACGATCCCTTGTAAATTATCCCAGATTCGCGCCCCAACAACTATACCAGATTCGCGCCCCAAAAACGACGATCCTTTGAAATTGCAACAGATTCGCGCCCCCGAGGCGAAGATCCCTTGCTGATTACACCAGATTCGCGCCCCCAAGGCCACGATGTCTTGCAAAGAACGTCACGATTACCAGCCGTCCTCGCATGAGCTTCCGATCTTGCCTCAAGTCGGCGCCCACTCATCCAAAAATAGCTCTGGCAGATCCCATTATGATAGAGAGGCGGCCGACGGCAGCGGGCGAAGCCCTTACGGATTGGAAAATCCAGAGAGAAGCCTAGAACCGAGTCGTAATGCACTGGCATGCATGACATCGAGCTGCGCTGATATTGGTACGCTCGGAAACAGGCCTGCACGGACCACAAAAAAAATATCGCGGCCTTTTCGGACGATGGGCTGGAAAGGCGTTGCGAGACGCATGTCGCCAAGGGTGGCGTAACGGCCACATCTTGGACAGAAAGTCAAGGGAAATGTGTCCATCGCCGAGCTCGATCGGAGGGGTGCCCGCCGAGACATGAGGCGAAGCCGCGCGCGCCTCAGGCGAGGAGGACAAGGGGTGGAAGAGGGGGAGGAAGAGTAGCAGTACCCAGGGGAGAGGCGCAAAAGGAACGAAACCGGTCGTCAACCACAGACGCGCTCGTCCCTGCTATGTGCGTTGCTGGATCATACGCATGATCCCTAGTCCAGATGCACTACGCGGAGTGTGCGAGTACCAGGCTTATGCACCAGTCCCGAATTCCAATCTCCCTCCTCCTCCCCCGCCCCATCCCCCCATTCCACCCCACCCTTTCCGTCCAACTCTAACTGCCCTTGCCAATGTCCCATCCCATGTGCCTCCTCCGCCTCCTAATCCTGCACCTGCTGGTACTGCGGCTCTCCCTCCTCCTCCTCCTCCTCCTCCTCCTCCTCCTCCTCCTCCGCCTGCTCTCCTCCTCCTCCTCCCTCCCTCCTCCTCCTCCTCATCATTCCATCATCATCATCAATCATCATCATCATCATCATCATCATCATCATCATCATATCATCATCATCATCATCATCATCATCATCATCATCATTCATCATCATCATCATCATCATCATCATCATCATCATCATCATCATCATCATCATCATCATCATCATCATCATCATCATCATCATCATCATCATCATCATCATCATCATCATCATCATCATCATCATCATCATCATCATCATCATCATCATCATCATCATCATCATCATCATCAACATGAACATCATCATCATCATCATCATCACCACCATCATCATCATCATCATCATCATCATCATCATCAGCATCATCAGCATCATCATCATCATCATCATCAGCATCATCATCATCATCATCATGATCATCATCATCACCACCACCACCATCATCATCATCATCATCATCAGCATCATCATCATCATCACCATCAACTTCAATCCCTCTTCTTTGCGAACAACCCACTTTTGTCACACCATCAGACGTGTTGGTAGGGCGGACCAGGCGGGCGGGAGGCCCACTTCTGGCCCTGAAGCTTGGAAGGTGAAATGTGCTCAAAATGGGACTCTCGCAGCGGCGCCGCGCACATTCGTCTCAAGAGCTACCAGCAGCTCCAAGCACGGAGGCTGGGCCATGTTCTACATGCGCGCTCGCTTGAGGCTCACCAAAGTTCTGTGTGTGTGACGCAGCCGGCCGTTCCCGTTAGGATCCCGAGCCCATGGTTGGTACCCGGTGGTCTTCGCAGCACCGCAGTCGGCCGTTCCCGCTCAACGCAACGTTGTTGGCATTCCACGGCTCCCCGACTCGGCGTTCTGTGGTTAGTGTTCGGTCGGGCCTGTCCCTCTACAGGCGAATCTTGGACGAAAAATAAAAAACGGTGACAAAAGATACTCCAAAAGGTTTTGGCTTTTAAACCAAAAACAAAAAAAGAAACAAAAAAACAGACAAAAAAAAAGTCCACGGACTAATTGTTTGACTCCGACTATTTTTTGCCGAAGTATTGTTGAATACTCCTCCTGCAGAGGGACGTGCCCGACGTAAGGTCAGTGCCCTGCGGCCACCGCGGTGCCACCCCTCGGCCCTCGCTGCTCCGAGCCCCGTGGCTGGTGGCCTTGTGCTCCCCCCGGGTGTGAGCCCACGGTTGGCGCCAGTGTGGCTCCACGCGTCGGCCCGCGGCGTTGTGCCGCACGGCTCTGCCCTGCACGCCACCGCTCGCACGTCCAGAGGGGCAGAACCTACTGGTTGCTTTCGGCTACACGTAAGAGTGACCCTGGGTAAGAGTGACCTTTGGTGCGCGGCTTTTGGGGGGCCGCGGGGAGGCCAAATCCAGGCGCGCTAGCCGCTGCTACCGCTTCGCGACGGGCCATCTGGGGGCCCATCTGTGCCCGCACCAAAGGTCACTCCGGCGAAGGGTCACTCTTACGTCTAGTCGATGCTTGGGCCTGACCACGAGACTCACACTCTGGCCGGTCCGCGGTTTCGTGCTGCACTGCTCTGCTCCGCACGCCACGGCACGCACGTCCACGAGGGCAGAACCTAAATACTGGCTGCTGGGGCCCGACCACGAGACCCACACTCTTGGGGCGGGCGAAAGGGGGGGATAGCAAAGGGGGGGGAGAATCAGCTCTCGTGGCTGATTTTCCTGGCGCCTCCCGGCGCCAGAGGCGGCTATGTATCGAGGAATGGGCCCCTCGGTGGGGCCGAAACCAGCTGCATGCAGCAAATTTCGTAACCCCCCCTTTCCCAATCTCCCCCTTTCGTCCAGCCCGAACTCTGGAGAGGAGCCGCCGCACCAACGGGGCGCCCCCCTTCTTCGCCATAGGGCCTCCCGCGCGCGATGGATGCCTCCTCGTCTCGTGGCCGGACTGCTCCAGACGCGCGCCGGGTGCGCAGGCGGAGGGAGGCCATTGTGCCGCGCGGTGCCCTCGCCGCACGGGCCCTTCGGCGGGTCCCGAGGGCCCTCCTGCTCCTCGCTGGCCAGCAGAGGGTGGCGGCTCCTCTGCAGAACACGGGGCCCTCGCTCGCACGACGAGGCCCACAGGGGGGGGGAGGGGGGCGCCCATCGCCGCTCCAGGGAGGGGCCGTGGCGACGAGGAGGCCCTGCAGCAAGCCTCGAGGTGCGGCGGCGGGGGGCAAGAGCGCGGCCGGCGGCATCCCCGATGCACCCTGGGCTCGTCCCCGATGCTCTCCCCTCCTCCGCCTTCCTCCGGGTCCTGCTGCTCCTCCCGCTCCGTCCACTCCCGTTCCTTCCGCTGCTGCTCGTCCTCGCCATCCTCCCTCCACGGCCTCCTCCTCTTCCTCCCCATTTTCCTCCTGCTCATCCTCCTGCTCATCCGCCACCTCCTCGTCCAATGCACGCAGCCCCTATGCTGCTTGAGCACGACACGATGAGGTCTTGCTTGGAGCTCCAGGTGCGCCGGGACGCAAGTCGGCGCAATGGGGAGGGGAGGGGTGAGCGGGGCAGGATGTCAGATATGGCGGAAGCGCACGTCGCCTGTCCCCTCCCCCTCCCCCTCCTCCCTCCCCCCGCCTCCGCCTCCCCTGACCTTCCTCTACCCCTCTCCCCGTACCCCTTCTAACCCTCCCTCCCACCGCTGCCCTCGCCTGCCCCTGCATCGGGCTGCAGCTTTGCTTCTGGCCCAGCTCGGACAGCTCAGCGGATGCAACTTGTGATCAACAAACCCTCCCAGCGGAGGCCTGGAAATGGGCACCGACACCAACACAGAGGGGGGCCTCCACAGGGGGAAGATGATCCCAGGTTTCGGTGTTGGTGGTACTACTTCGGTCACCTTGGAAGCCAGAATATTACGACCATCACCGAGATCGGGATCTTCTTCCCTCGGTGGAGGGGCACCGCCCATATTGATGCTGGTGTCAACCTCTACGCCTGCGATCCCATTCCCTCCGAACCTCCGACGTCGTGATGCGCGGAGGCTTTCAGAGAGGTATTCGCTCTCTGCCTACATTAACCGCGCGCTGGGGCGGTGCCCTCGAAGAAGCCGCGGGGCCGTTCGAGCCTGGCCGGGTCATCGCCCTCCGGGAAGGAATGGACGTCGCTGGTTGCGGAGGCGCTCGACAGGTGCGACCGCTTCGACAGGCCCGACTGGCCCGCAGGCCGCGTCAGGGTGTACCCCCCACACTCCGTACCGACGGTCCCCGCGTACCCCCCGCACTCCGCACTGACGGCCCCTGCACTCGGACTGGAGTCCTCCGTGCACAAGCTGTTGCGCATGACCGCCATCTCCTCCGCGCGGTAGAGCTCCTGCGCCTGCTGGTGCCGAGAGCGCAGCGCCTGCAGCGCCTCCTTGAAGGCCAGCCTGTCTATGCGCAGCACCTCCGAGCACTCCAGCACCACCACAGTGTCTCGAGACACCGTCTCGTGGACGAGGCAGTGGTCGTCCACAACCGTCAGGCGTTCGCAGTCCTGGTTCGACGTCACCGACATTCGCCAGAGCATCGTCAGCATCCCCGTTGCAGAGCTGTCTTCGCTGAGGCGGTGCTTGCGCGGATTGGCGATCTGCAGGCCGCCCCGCATGAGCACGTACGCGGCCTCGGCCTCACTGTTCTTCGTAGTCAGCTTGTCGCCTGGCAGGTAGTCCACGACCTCGGTGGCATGGTCACAGACATGCTGCAGGGCCTGCTTCTGCCACTCACGGAGAAGCGGAACCATCCTCAGGTGATGGATTCTCTGAGCGTGCCTCAGCTTCCTCTTCAGCCCCTCGGGCATGGTATTCAGCAGGCCCAGTTCTTTGGCGTGGATTTTCCTCCTGTCGAAGAGGTGCTTCAGGAACGCCTGCGCACGCAGCTGCAGCGCATTCCCACAATTCATCGTGTTCAAGTGCATGCGTACGCAAGCCATCTCCTCCTTGAAAGAGTCCTTACGCGCGCCGAACCGGAACCAGGCCTGCGTGATGCGTGTGACGTTGACGGCGAAGGCCATGACGGCGAAGAACATGAAGAGAAGGACAAATATCCTCTCCGTCAGGTTGACGGGTGTGACCTCGGCTGGCATGGTGCGCATCACGCCAAGGACCCAATAGAAGCAGAAGACGTACTGCTCCGACGCAGGCCTGTCTACCCACCTCCAGGGTCCAAAGTCATCGTAAGCGCTGTGCACGCGCGGCAGCTCCGTCCAGTGGAGCCCCTCCGGAACGTCATTCTGCATCGTGAGGAGCATCACCAAACTGTCTCTCTTGCCGACCATCCACCAAACGCAAGCGCCCCAGTGGCAGATTGCGGTCCAAACGCCAAGGACCTTCAACAAACTCACCCCGTTCAAGGCGGCGATAGACCCGATCCGGCTCTCGATGCGCTCCCAGACGACCGACACTTTGTAGAGACGCAGCATCCTCATCAGCCTTAGAAGTCGCGTCAACTTAATAATCTTCGCCAACTTCGTCACTTGGCCAGCCGATGACCCATCTGTCTCACCGTTCGAACTGAATGCAACAGCAATGACAGACCACGGCACAGCGCTGAGAAAATCAACCCAGAACCATCCACGGAGATAATGGGCTGCAATGCTGCCCCTCTCGGTGACAAGGGTTCCTTCCTGTAGGTGTTCATCCTTCTTGCCCGCGTGGTACCCAGTGAAGAAATTCAGCACCAAGTCGCAGACAAAGACGGTGACCGTGAGCCAAAGCCAGAATTGATCGAACCGTGGGTCCGTACGGAATTCGGCCAGTTGGAACGGGAGCACCACACAGTCGCACAGGACCAGAAACATGATCAGCAAGTCCCACGACAGCCTTGGAGACCAGTCTGGGTTCAGTGAGCCGCCGATGCATGCAGAGTTATATTGGTATGATACGCCCTTCACCGACGTGACGCTCGCTCGGTTAAGGAATATTGTGTCTACTGAATCGTTCGAGAACAACTTGAAGCGATCGTATGCCCCGTTCTCTGCTACGCCTTCCATCACGCTTGCGAGAGAATCAGACGGCCTGGAGTTCAACACCATGGGCGTGACGGGCGTGACGGGCGTGACGTCTCCGTCTTCTTCACTCACTGCTGGTATGCGCTGCATGGACCTCCCGTTCTGGCTGGAGACACTGCTGCGGCTGCCGGTGCTGCACGAGAGGTCGAGGCCGGCGATCGATGCTGCCCTGGTGGCGGAGCTCGGGTAGGCTTTGCTGGCCAGGGCCTCGACGGCGGTGGCCGCCTGAGGCTCCCCAGAGCCTGCGGCGGTGGTGGCCGCGAGGAGGTCGGACCGGAGATCTCGGATGGCCGCACTGAGCCTGCCGATCGACACCTCCGCCGCCCGGAAGTCCACGAGCGAGGGCGCCGGGTGCAGGCCGAGGGCGCCGCGCACCAGGCCCGCCTGCAGGTCCAGGGCCCCGGTGATGGCCTGCAGGTGGGCCTCGAAGGCCTCGGCCGCGGGCCGAGCCTGCGCCATGGCCCGGCCAGGCGGGCGCGGCCGAGAGGGGGGAGGGGGGGGCGTCCAAGAGAGGGAAGGGGGCGCAGCTCGTGGACCGAGGCGCGCGCACGGCCCACGAGGCGCAGTGGGCAGAAGAGTGTGGCGCCGCCGCGCCGTGGGGGGCGATGCGTGGAAAGGAAGGGGGGGGGGGAAGAGAAGCACACACTCTGGGGGGGCCCTGGAGGCCCCCGCTGGGGCCCCAGAGGGCCCCCTTGCCGGGGCCCTCGAGGGCCCCTCTCCTGCGGCCCTCGCTGCCCCCTCGGTCGTCGCCCCCCCGTGGCGCGACGCCCGGCAGGAAGGGGGGGGCCGTGAGACCTGGGAGGAGCTCATGGCCCCCGCCATGGTGTCCTCCACCCCCCCCAGTTTGTCACCCCCCTCATCGTCGGAGGCGGCGACTGGGGGGTGAACAGCCCCGGGGGGAGCAGCACACGTACCCCGGGGCGCCGACGGTCCGCGTCTCGCCTGCACGCAGCAGGGACCCTAGGGAGGAGTGACGTTTGGTGCGCGACTCTAGGGGAGCACGGGGGAGGGGGGGGGGAGGGGAAGGGGGGGGTGGGGGGGAGGGGGAGGGGGCGGGCGGGGGGGGGAGGGGGCAAACCCGAGCGCGCAAGCCGCTGCCATTGCATCGCATGCAACGATCGGGGGACCCCAGTGGGCCCGCACCAAAGGTCACTCTGGCGAGGAGTCACTCTTCCATGGAATCGAATGTCGTCGGCGAGGCTCCCCGGCGGGATACTTGTCAGGAGAGCTCTAAACAGTACACCACCATCATCCCTGGCCAGGCCCATCCTGGGCCCTGCGCTGGTGTACAGGCCCTCCTGGCCTGGGCCTGGAGGCCTATACACCAGACCAGGGCCCAGGATGGACCTGGCCAGGGCTGGTGGTGGTGTATTGCCGGCGTCCCTCCGAGGGGTGCGTGTAACGTCCGCCCCTGGGCCGTCAACCAAACCTGCGGGGTGGGCCCACTCCATTCCTCCGTGCTCCTCAGCTCTTGCTTCGGCTTCAGCCGCCGATGCACCCTGCAGCATCTCCGGGTCAGCTCACCCGAGTCGGATCCTCCGCTCGCTGGGCCTGCGGGTCCATGCACCAGTCCAGGGCCCAGCATGGACCTGGCCAGGGCCGGTGGTGGTGCATCGTTGGCGCCCCTGCGAGGGGCACGTGCCATCTCCCCCCCTTGCCCCCTCTTCTGGCGGCGCGCACAAGGGGGTGGAGGGAGGGGAGAGTGCTTCTTAGGAGCAGGGGTGCTTCTAAGAACCCCTCCCCCCTCCACCCACCCCCCTCTGCACGCGGCCGACTCTTGGCCGCCCCCGGCCAGGGGCGTCCCCAGGCGCCCCCAGCGCCCCTGGCGGGCGCCGCACGGCCCTCGCCCGCGAGGCGCGCGCCGGCCTCGTGGCCTCACGGCAGCGGCTCTCCCCCGTCCCCTCCTTTGTCGGCGGCGCACACAGGGGGGTAGGGGTGCGGGCAAGATTTTTGTCCACATCCGCTGCGTCTTGGAGCTTCGGGCTCCCTTCCAGCGGTGTCGCCCCTGGAGGTCAGAATCTTGCCTTATCCATATCCACTGCGCCGCGGCCTGTTGGCGCCCCTTCCCAGAAAGTCCAAGACGCAGTGGATGGGGATATAAATCGTGCCTGCAAGGGGCAGGGGGGAGGCTTCAGGGGGAGGACGGAGGCTTCTTAGAAGCCTTCCCCCCTCCCCCCTACCCCCCTCTGCGCATGGCCGGCGATGCCTCCCGCAGGCCTCCGCTCTCCTCCCTCGGGGGCGGGGGGGGTGCAGTAGGTTCGCGCGGCGTCGGCGCGCGCAAAGGGTTTTGACCCCGCGTCGATCGTGCAACCTTGAATCGATCGCGGCCCGGATCGTTCAAGATTGAA